CTTCAATACAAGAAAAAAAGAAATGAGTTTATGATCTATAAATGCAAATAAAGCCAAGTTCTAATAAAACAATATTATAAATGCTAAATATTTAATAGAAATACTTGGCAAAACAACAAACTTACACTGAGGGTAAATGCATTAGTAAACCACAGTAAACTCTGATACTGTGGCAAACATTTAAGATTTTTCATCATTATAAGAACAATGCTTACTTTGCTGAAAAAGGCTAACATTCTATGTACAAGATATAAAAAGAATAAACAATTCTAAGAACTTTATTAAGTGTATCTCCCTTTTATGGCAACAATGCAGATCAGGAAAGGATTGTACCTCCCATGGGAATTCTGAAATAAAAACCCAGTAGAAGAAAGTCAAGAAAATACACAAAACATTCAAAACATTCTGAGAAGCTACTCTGAACCAGGACTTACAGCTGATCTTCAGGCATAACAAGGTCTTCTACATGCAAGTATTTACAATCTAAGTGGACTACTGGTAGAAAGAGGGAAGGAAGGAAGATCTACGACAGCCAAGGAAAAGTTGCCTCATTTATCTGGACAGATAGATAAGAACGGTTGTGGAAAAAAAATCAACAGGGAAAGGAAACTAGCTCTATTATACATTAAAAGATAATCTAAAATCTTCCATAATTAAAACAATGTGACACTGACACATGAAGAAGCAAACCAATGGAATAGAGCAGAAAATCCAGAAATACACCAAATACAGTTAGGAATTTAGAACTATATTTTGTAAATTCTCAGATGTATGTTTTCCCACATTTTAACACCCCTGAAATCGACATATGTCTTCCATAAAATGAACAGTGTATTTGATTCAAAGTCATAGAGTGGGAAGATGAAATAGCTCTGGAGATGGATGGTGGTGATGGTTGCACAACAATGTAAATGTATTTAATGCCACTGAACTTCACATTCAAAAATAGTTAATATGGTAAATTTTAAAGAAATTCTTTAGGCCTGCAACAGGAAAATTTATACTTTCTTCTAGCATTCTGAAATCCATTTTAAAACATATATTTACATTATAAGTGTAAATATATATATATAATATATAATAGAATATATTCTAAATATATAACATATAGACCTCATATAGAATATATTCTTTTACATTTATATTTATAATACATATATAAACTTGTATCCTCAGTATAAGTTTGTTGTTTTGCCAAGAATATAGATGATAGAAAATATTGTATTATATAATAGAATAAATATTTATATTTAGAATATAAAATATTTATTTTTAAAACATATCGTATATGATAAAGGTAGCATCTCAAACTAGTGGGCACTGAATTACCAGCAATTCCTCAAAAAATGATGTGATACTAGATAGCCATCTGGAAAAAGGACGTTGGATCCAAACATTATACTGTAAATGAAGATAGACTCCAAGTAGATCAAAGATTTAAATAAGAAAAACAGAAAAAAATAAAAAGGAACCAAGAAAGTATTATTTGACAACATCGAGAATACTTTTCTAGCCTTGGAGTGGGGAAAGGACTTTCTAACTTTGACTTAAAATACAAAAGACATAAGAGAGGGACACCTGGGTGGCTCAGCGATTGAGTGTCTGCCTTTGTCTCAGGGCATGATCCCAGGTCCAGGGATCGAGTACCACATCGGGCTTCCTGCATGGAGCCTGTTTTTCCCTCTGCCTATGTCTGTGCCTCTCTCTCACTGTGTCTCTCATGAATAAATAAGTAAAATCTTAAAAAAAAAAAAAAGACATAAGAGAATAGTAACAAATGTAACCACAGGAAAATCAAGAAGAAAAAATTAAAAAGTAGAAAATGACAAACAGGAAAAAATATGTTCAATTCATAATACAGACAAACGCCACTCTCCTTAATATACAAAGAGTTCAAAAAATTGATAAGAAAAACACTTATAAGTCAAGAAAAATATGGGCAAATTTCATAGGAAAGGAAATAAAAATGGCTTTTAAATGTACGAAAAGTTGCTTACCTTTAATCATAGTAAGAAATCTACAATATTTTATTGCAGTGGATGGGCTAAAGTCCAAACATTTTATCATTCAGATTGGCCTAAATCCAAAAATGTATTGAAAGGACTGTGGCAAATTCATACAGTGCAAATGATCATAACCCTTAGTAATGGTAATTTCAGTAGAAACTATAAATGCATATTTTTTAAGCTAGCAATGCTACTCCTAGAAACTCATCCTATAGATACACATGCACATATACAGAATGACATATATTCAAGGTTATTTATTGCATCAGTAACAGCAAAAGACTGGAAATAAGCCAAATGTATAATAAATGTGGACTGGTTAATAAATAATACATCTAAACCATGAAATATCATACTCTTTTAAATAAGAATGAGGAAGTTTTCCATGTGCTGATATGGAAAGATATTCAAGATAAATATCTATATGAAAAAATCAAAGGAAGTTACGGAATTTTAAAATGACTTTTATATATAAAAAAGGAGGGAAGGAATGAGGATATAAATTTGCATTTATGTATGTCAGCACAAAACAAACTGAAAAGATATCCACAGGTAAGCGAATGGGGTACAAAATGGGCTGAAGGGGTAGAAGGCAGACCTCATACTGTTTGGTTTTTAACTAATGTAAATACGTTACCTCTCCAAAAATAAAGAATTAAAATATTTTTGGAAGATTTTATTTGTTTGAAAGAGAGAGAGGCGGGAGAGGGAGAGGGAAAGCACAGATGGAGAGGGAGAGGAAGAAACTGACTCCTTAATGAGCAAAGAGTCTAATGTGGGGCTTGATCCCAGGACTCTGAGATCAAATGCTTAACTGACTGAGCCATTCCAGTGCCCAAAGAATTGAAATATTTTATATTTCTTAAAAAAAAAGATAGGATCAGCTGCACCTTTGCTAGAACATTCCTATTTAAATACCCATACACAAATGCACATACACACACAAAAGAGAGATTTTTTTAAAGATTTTATTTATTTATTCATGAGACACACACACACACACACAGAGAGAGAGAGAGAGAGAGAGAGAGAGACGCAGAGGGAGAAGCAGGTTCCATGCAGGGAGCCTGATGTGGGACTCGATCCCAGGTCTCCAGGATCATGCCCTGAGCCGAAGGTGGCGCTAAACCGCTGAGCAACCTGGGCTGCCCAAAAGAGAGATTTTTATCTTAATTCCTCAATGGTCCATCCAAGGATCCTCCAGAGGATTCTCCAAGTTCAGGAAGTATCTCAGCATGGCTTTGGTACATCCTGTGTCCTTAAGATGAGTTCAGACTCAAGACTGGCTGTGGTGATGTTGGATCTTTCCCAAGTCATCCTAGACTCTTGCTTCCCCATGGATTCTTTCTACAATGAAGATGGGGTCAGAAGCAGGGGCTCTAGGGTCACAAAAGCCTTGTTTTGAATCTCACCTTTTAATAGCTGTGTGACCCTGGGCAAAATGAAAACTTAATTTCCTAATCTGTAAAATGATGTTTCTACAATCTACCAAGATAAAATAAGGTAACTCAGAATTGTTTTGGGGACCATGTGAGATAATATATACTCATAATATTTAGAGCACAAAATCCAATAAAGAATGAACATTAAATCAAAGTCAGACATCATCACTTGCAGAGATAAGTTGTGCCAATTTAATTGGAGAGTATCTTGCCAAACTTATTATCTAGTAGAGTTGAATGGCATTTTATGCAACAAATCTAGAGAAAACTCTACTACTTTTAAGAACGGGAATGTTGATTATACATGATTCTTCCCTTGATATTTTTCAACTGTTTTAGTATAAGTGGGTTTTTAAATTTTTACTTATTTAATTTTTTTAAAAAAGGTTATTTATTTGAGAGAGAGAGAGAGAGAACAGGAGGGACAGAGGGAACAGGAGAGAGAATCTCAAGCAGACACCTCACCAAGCATGGAGCACAATGTAGGGCTTGATCTCACCACCCTGAGATCATGACCTGAGCTGAAGCCAAGATTCACACACTGAACCAACTATACCACCCAAGTGCCCTGGTGTGTTTAGACCATGCTAAAAGCTACTTATCCGTGCACCTTAACAACAGATAAAAAAGACACCAAGCCACTATTCTCATAATTAAACTGCCAAAATCATGCTGTTTAAATTACTCCAAACCAGAATGAAAGGTTTTAATTATATATGGTATGCGCTGAAGTTACATTTCAAAGTATTCTTCTGTTTTCTGTGCAATTCCTTCCTCTTCTTTTTTCCCCCACTCATTCCACACAGGACACTTTCCTCTCCTTAACCTCCCAAAAGCACAGAAACTCAAGAAACCACAGTCTTCTGCAGGTCAGAAATACTCATGGGCAATAAACAGAGCTGGTTTCTCTAATCCCAAACATTCTCTAATCCCAAACACAAGCCGGAGATAAAGGGAGAAGGGAAGGGTAGTCAGATGAGCAATTTGTACTAGATGGGAAGCAGCAGCAAGAGCAGATGTTGTCCAGGGAGGTGAGAGATGGAACACCAGTGAGGTAGGAAAGGGATCCATTAGCCCACATTCCTGGAGTGTGGTCTCTCTCCCTGATCCTTTACTTGTAAATAACCTGGTGTCCAACAGTCCTTAACACTTGTAGGCCCGCCAGAAGAGAAGGAATGTGCATATCTGTGTAGAGATGGGAGATGAAAAGAAAACCTGATCCTTTAACTCTGTTGGAAGTGACAACACACAGCTGAGAGTTTTCTAAGCTGGGACAGGACTGGACTGCATGCCAACATTACCTTATAGGGATTGGTCTAGAAAATTGTTAACTGAATTTGGGGAGGCCTTGGTGGTCCTGGAAAAGATATAGTGCTACTCCTAGTCTAGAGTCAGGCATCTCCTTGACCCCTAACTATCCTGTGATCTAACATGGCCACTTGACTGCTAGACAGTGGTATATAGAGATGAGAAGAAATTTACTCCATGTAGTGAAGTTTTACAGATATCTTCTAGCTAATAGCAGCCCTGGGACCTTAACAACCAATTTAAA